TTCAGACTATTGGGTCATTAAACTGACTTGGAAGGTCAACGTATGACCTATGATCAACGATTGGCCTATGCCTATAAATTGGGTATCATCGACTTCCTCTCGTCACGTGCACATGCTCCTTCTTTTCAAGAAGCTCTAGTTTGATCAAAAGCTGATCAACTGTGGGGTCTGATCCATCCCCGCCCAAACGTTAGAGCCTGCGAAAACGCCGATATGGGTGCGAGTTGTGGCATATTCCTATATAAACAATGTTATTTTATGCTTTTTAGTGGCTTACATCGATTTTGTTCTAAAAATAACGCAAAAAAATCAGCATACAGTGATGTTACTTAGACTTTTACGCCTAGTTTCCTTTTTAATAATGCTGCAATTGCATTCATGCAACATATTTCTTGGTCAGTTTTGTGACAAAGTTTTGGAAACATAGTGCGGCAGAAAGCAAAACTTTGTTGTGAAACGACCTCCAGCCTCAGCAGGCAACGGTTAACCCTCGCCCCGTTGGGCGGTGGGCAATATAGCCCCCTGTGTATTTTCCTGAAGAGCAAGAAAACGGCGGCGCGCAGCCCCACCAAATTTTCAGTAGCTACCCGGGCATCAATTTACCACATTTACACAAAACTTCAAGTCTTAGGTTACCCTAGATCAGGAGTTATTGAGGTCAAACTGAGGTCATGTTCGAGCAAAAATGAGCAAAAAAACATTAAATCTTGAAACTCTCACAAAAGCTACAGTTAACAAGCAATTTCAAAGCTCTATATCTGGTCGTGTAGAGAAAAAACGGCGCAGAAATTTGACCTAATTTGACCTGACCTTTACCTGATCTTCACCAGAACATAACCCAAACTGGCCCCCAAGGGTTGCCTGACCCACATAATCGCATTTGTCATGTAAAATGGACCAGAAAACATGCATCACATAATAGTTATCTTCATATTGTGACCCTCAGTGACCTGACCTCTGTGACCTGACGTATCAGTGACCCCAAATAGCAAAATATGTGTTTGACGAACAATTCCCCATCGAAAATAATTGTTATTCATCGATTCCTTATCGATGAATGACATGCATTTTACTCGATTTTACAACACATTTCTTGACTAATGCCTGTAATCGGTGAAAATTCGACATTCGACCTGAATTGTGACGTCATCGGTTTGACCGAGGTCAATGAAGTTGAGCCAAAAGGTATTTCCTCGTCATGGCCATCCAACACCGTTTGCTGCTTGTCGTTATTTTGCGTGGTTCTCGAGATCTTAGGGGGGGGGGGGCAAAATGCTCCCCCCCCATGGGACCGATGCTCGGGAGACCCTAAGAGGGCGCGGGTTAAATGACAGAACTGTTCCCAAGAAATAACATTACAGCCGTCTCCCGGCCTCGGCTAAAACGTTGGACGACTACCTATGAATCGGCACGCTGCCGGCTCACCCCGCCCGCTGGCTACGGGTGGCCTTGACCGTTCAATGCCGATTGGCGCTCAATGTGTTTCCACTTCCATCGCTAGTGACCTTGCATTTAGGTCACATGACCAGAAACCAGCAGCTAAACTACGGAGATTCTAGGGGCGGCGGAAACCTTGAAGATTGGCCCTGCCGCATTGTCACTCCTAGTCGCTATGAACCTGGCTGGATCGGCTCCATGCGCTTAGCAGATCGGCAAATTTGTAGTTAAGCAGCCCTGAAGGCACCGGCCAAGTTTCTCCGCTGGTCCCGGCCAATTAAGACACAAGGGACCAAACATCATTTCACATGTTGGGATATTTCTAATCACAAGTCTAGAAATGAACGGTTAATGAGACCTGAGACACCGAATGGCCATTCTGTCCTATAATGGTCTCTAAAAACTGGTCACAGGTCAAAGGTCATTTTGGTCATGGTCATGAAATTTTCAGGTTAGGTGTAAATGTTCAAGTTGCAGATGACCTGAGCTTATTCTGACTTCTGACCGCATTAACTCACGCACGGGTGGGCCTCTCATCCAACTTCGCCATGGTGGGGGGACTTTTTTTTTTGCCCACACCAGGTTATCTCGGAATGGAAGCAACTAGCAAGCTAGAAAGACGCGGTAAGAAGCAATAGATAGTTCGCAATAAGATATTTCAGAATTGTTCAGGTATTTTTATCAGGTAATTGCTAAGGTCACTGGAGTTCACCAAAGGTAAACTTTTCACGACTTTTTCTTACCGATTTTGACAATTTGCTTTCACAAATCAGCGATAATTCGGGAACCAATAGAACTGCAGCGCTGCGGGAAAGCGCATTAAATAGCTCTTTCAAAGGGTAGCTTGCTCTCAGATTTGACCTAAGGTGAACGATTTAGCCTCCAGAAGGTAAAGCTCTAAAAAATGGCCGTTTTTACATTTTTTCTATAATAACCTTTTACTAAAAACGTCGCGACATTGATTTTGCCAGCATCGCGTTCCTCTCGTCGAGACGCGTCGAATGAACAATTGGCTGACCTAAAAGGTCAAGTAAAGAATTTGATCTCGGGTCAAGGTCACGAAAAAGGTCATGTTGCATGTCATTCGATTCGTGCAGTTGAGCTGGGCACATTCGTGGTATTTTTTTTTTTTACTTCAGCGCTGTGTTTAGATGTTTGAGGCTGTTTTCGACCAGAAGAAGAGCATTTCAATTTTCTCCCATTGACTTATAATGGAGAAGTCACAAAATTAACCTCACCTCAGGTCACCAATATCAGAATTCCGAGATGAACAAATTGTTGATACTGACTCCCTCATGTAATAGCCCGAGTTTCAAAGTTTCAGGATTTATACTATAGGAATAACTGAATCACAAAGTCTTTAGAGGCATGGGCACCTAATTTGACCTGGTGACCTGACCATACGTGATTTGGAGTCACAATTGTTACACACGATGCAAAATTGATGTATCACAAGCCATACTAAGTTTCTTTCTTAACCCTCGCCCGTATAGGGGGGGGGGGTCGAACGGACCCTCCCTAGGTTTTTCGCGAATAACTCGCGTAAAAAGCGGCCGATTGCAACGAGCCTTTCAGTACCCTCGCATTAATCAATTTTACACCTACCCTGAAAATTATATGACCCTGACTCAAATGACCTTTCCCTGTGACCTACTTTTCGAGACCATGTTTGGCCGGAATTGCGATTCGGCGTATGTCGGCTCGCGTTAGCGGCGCGTTTGCAGTCTTTTCGTAGTTTCAAGCGTTCAAACATGTGCTATGATGTTGGTCCCATGCATTATGGTGGGTGTCAAGGTCACCTGAAGGACAGGTCAGGTCATTGACCTTTGATGACCTCGGTTCACTTTTTCGAGTTTTTTCATGTTTCTAGGGAATTCGAATTTAGCAACCATATGAACATTTACGAAGTAGTTTTGGTGCCTTCTTAATTAACATGTTACGAAGCTGTCAGAGGCGGTTGACACCTACTACAAATACTCGGCAGGACCTCTACTGGTTGACCTGACCTGACCTGACCCGACCTAGCCTAAATGCATGAAGACATCATCTGTGATCAAAACTAACATGATATTCTAGCAGCTACCCTTTACGACGTTCTAACGGGTCCCGATTTTCCCTGACTTTGGGTCATTGACCTGACATGAAAGGTCAACCAATGACCTAGGACCTTAAAATTGGGTATCATCGGCTTCCTCTCGTTACGGGCAACACGCTCCTTTTTCCGCGAAGCCCTAACTCGATCAGGGGCGAAACGGCAAGGGGGGTCCAACGGACCCTCCCCCACTCCCCGTATACGCTTGCGGCTGGAAAACACCAATACGGATGAGGGTTTAAACTCGCAAAAAACTGGCAGGTGTTGCCAAAAACGCCCCAATTCACCCGGGCGAAGGATAATATTTATTGACTTATAGTGAAAAAATGAATAACTTACGGCACTGAAAGCTTCGCTGCGATCTGCCAATTTTTACGCGAGTTATTCAGAAAAAAACTGAGGAGGGGGGTTCATTTGATCACCCCTAATAAGAAGAACGGTTTAAATGCCATTAAAAGTAAACAGTAACATCAAAAAATAATATTTCCTGTATATTTCTCAATTAAATATTGTAGGATCTTTCGTTATGATTAATAAATGCTTGCATGGTCAAAAGATATTCTAAGCTGACCAGCAAGACATTTCCATTTTATTTTACACCTGAGCCATCATCCGTTCGTTCTAGCCCCTCCCGCCTGCCTCCGCCCCCCCCCCCCCCCCTTCCCACTGCCACCACCACCACACAAGCCGAGTTATAAGGCTGAGGCGAGCGCCTCCCCTTCCTATACGCCAAACAGCGCCGGGCTCTCGTGACCTCTGACCCCACCGCCCGAAGGCTCGGCCGCTGTCCATTGTCCAAGGACACCCGCGCGGGCCACAGTGATAGCCTCTGCCGAGTCCCACCTCTATCCAACGCTGGATTCATTCATGCCTCTGTGTTTCCGCGTTCTACTCGTCAGGCGGCGCCACTGTTGTCAAAGGCGACTGCAGGGAAGCCGCGGTCAGAATGCCCCAAACGGCGGATCTTGATGTTTTCTTTTAATTCCTCCGAAACTAGCCGGCATACGATCAAACTTTTTTCCATGCTTATGGTAGGGAGGTATACGAATAAATCAGTCACACTTTTAAGCCTACAAAGCTGAAGGCGAAAAAGATATAGCCGGAAAAGCAAAACCTACGCTTAAAACTCGCGAGACCTGTACTTGCGTTTGAGTTTTGCTTCAGGGCTTCATTTTTGTCGATATGCTGATATCTGAGTATAAGTTTAGTAAACCGCTAGCATGTGACCAGCAATTTTAAGAAAGTTACCACCTGGCGATATTTTCAACTATCATTCAACTAATCATCAGAATTATTCGGGTAACTTTTTAGCCACGGTAATGACATCCCGTATTGTTTTGCCCTACTCTTTGTAACTCGGATGAAGTGACGTTGACCCCACCCTCCGACAGGCGTCAGTGTCTCTGCCGTCTGCCCCGCGGCCCAGCAGCGCGGAGGGCGACCATTTCCACGCGGGCCGCCAGTTCGCGCGCGGCTTTCCGGACGAGATGGCCGAGGTAACCCGGGTGGCCGAGCAGATGGTGGCTGACCGGGGCGCCGGGCCGCGCGGCCGCTCGCTCGCCCAGCTGGCGCTCGTCAGCCCGCTGGCCAGCCTGGTGCGATCCAAGCCGCAGGTTAGAACCGCGGGCTCAGATGTGGGTTATTGAGGGAGTTAGTAGCTAGTGTTAAGCTAGTTTGAAGGTGAACGACTCTAAACAATGCTCGCTTCGACTTGAGCATCTTGTGGGCTATTATTTAACATAGATCGCCACCTTGTCGATATTTGTGTTCGTTGATGTATGTTTTGCCTTTTGTGTCATGTTAATTTCGTTTCCTCCACTGTGTTATATTCTAGTGTTGCCAGAGATGTATTAGCTTAGCACACCAACCACAGATGTCTTGCCGCGCTGTCTATCTGTGTGCGATAGTCAGGTAGGTAGACGCCATTGTATGCCTACCCCCGTGTTCTGACGCGCTCTGTGCCCTCCCCGTCCGCAGCTGGTCCGGCCGTCGGCGCAGGCGTCCTCCTCCCGGCCGGCCACCATGATGGAGGCCTACAACTTCATGAGGGGCATCATGGACGAGTGCACGCACCTGGCCAACTTCCCCGTGCCGGTGGATCCCGAGCTGGTGCTCATCGTACAGGTCAGGGGCACCATGGGATGAATATCGTATATTTCGTTTGTCGCACGATTTGAGTAACGACAAACGGGTGACACATGAATATTCGTGCCAGTGACAAATTAAGTTTGAGTGTGTAATGTGTATGGTCTCTAAAAATGGTCTTAGTGTTACTTTGGAATTTATAGTGCCTTTGTTTCCATCATTAAATATGTATTCAATTCATAGTACATACGGCAGCAGAAGTCCCATCCTGCAAGTAAAATAAGTGCGTAACGGTTATACAACCAATAACCACCATGCGTCTGCGTGTGAGATTGTCCGGTACAACGCCCGTATGCTTTGACGTACTTCTATCATCCTTTCCTCGGTAACACAAACCGCTGTCTCGTCTCCTCAGGCTCGTGACGACGCGTATATCCCTCGGGAGGGTCTGACTAGTCTGACCGAGCTGTGGCCGGGCAGCAAGGTGCGCTTCATCGACACGGGACACATCGGCGCCTACCTCTTCAACCAGGACACCTTCAGGTGAGGAGACTCGCGAGACGTGTGGACCAGAGGCCCTTCGTGTGTCTCCCTTGTCTCTCCGTTCTTTCAAAGGGTGCATGCTTTCTCACGTACTTGTGTTCTTAGCAAGCTAAACTACTCATAAAAATTGATTTTGCTTTTGTCCAGGCCTTTTGCTCACGGATTGCGATGTGCGTTTTAAACGGTCAGTTGTATCGATTTACACTCATTTCGCCAATGGGTATCATCCTCAGAGAGGCAATCGTCGACACGTTTGAAAAGATGATAAAGAAGTACGATCTGAAGGACATCAGCGATTATATCACGATGAAGACTGGTGTCAAACAGCAGCAGCAGCAGCCTGCCGAAGATGAGAAACAGCGGTCTCGTATCGCGATGAAGGCTGGTGTCAAACAGCAGCAGCAGCAGCCTGCCGAGGATGAGAAGCAGCGGCCCCGCGACGCCTCCCAGGTCGGGGCCTAACTGACGCGTCACTGGCGGGGTCGCGCCAGGCTGTGCAATATCAACAAACTAGAGCTTAGGACGAGGCAGTAACCCCTCACGCCCCGTGCCGGAGATTCGATTCGGTCTGTTGTGTACCGATTATGCGCTCAATTGTGGGTTTGCCATGCTGAAGTGATAATTAGCTAGCAAACAATTGTGACAGTGTTCACATGAGTCAGATTCAGTGCAACTTGGTTGGGCGGCTTGGAATTTTGCAGTTCATCCGCTTTAGTCATTGGTTTACTTACATGGCTGTACCGTAGACCCCCGTTACACCGGTATGCGAAGGTCTATAACTGTAACTTTGTTTGGTGTGATGTAGGCTCGGGACAAGTTTTTTGTTATTCAGTTGTACATGGCGACGGTAGGATATAATCCATCGTCGTTGCGACATGCTTCCCTCCGTGCCAGAGCGCATGAGAAGTCCAGATAATAAGGAGTGTTTATAGCTCCATGAATTAGCGGTGGCTGTGGCCCTGTAGGTCGCTCCACGGGCTACTCCTTTCGATGGCAGTGTTTTACAACTCGAAGCATTATATTGTGTGATGTTCTGAGTTCAGCTGTGTAACGTGTTCGAGATGAACAAAACATACTGCCATGGCCGCATTCGGGTTAATGCTGCTGTTCTGGTAGTACACACAAAACAGTGCAAATAATACAAGAACGGTTTCCAATTTTGGTGTCTCTGCTTGGCTAACGTGAGACGGTGGTGAGTGGTGGGCTGCTGCTATATCACAGATTTGTTTAGCCTTCTTTGTTCATAGCAAAAGAAACGAAGTGCAATTTTTCGATGTGAGTGTTGCGACTGATGACGGTGATAGTTTACTCCGTGAGTTGTATGTATGTACTACGCCTCATCAAGATTACTTTTCTAATAACCACGGTGACTATAAGTGAAGACTACACCTCGCTTTTGGGTTCGCTGGGAATAAAACTTGCAGCTCTATATATAGTGCTGTTTTATATCACGCTTTATCAGATCCTCAATCAGCTCTGGGACAATATTGTAAGCGTAAGCAGCCAATAATCAAAAATATTGTTTTAACAGTTTCTAACTACTCCAAGATGTTGGGTTTTGCATTGCTTTACCTCTTGGATAATGATATTGGAAAATGTTGGGAGAATGATTGAGTTCGCTGACGTAGAATACATCACTATAAACAAAATAGCGAGCCTCGCGCACGAGCTACGTTCGCTGCGCAGGCCGGCGACCGTCGCGTTTTTGGAAACTGAGGGTTTTTCGGTGATTTATTTTTTGAGTTTTTACCCATTTTGGACTTGGTGATGACTTCCTTAAAATGAATATTGTTCTTTACGTGTTGGAAAATGAAATGCAATAAACCAGAACAGCTAGTTCCTCAGGGCAACGTCGATGCATGTCAATGTGCACGGATCTCAGACAATTCCAACACGAAAGTAAATTGAAATTCGAGATGGCATTTAGATAAACAGTTTTCAAATGTGAGATTATTGTAGAAACTATTGCTTATAAAAATGTCAAAACGAACTTACTGCTTTGCATCCCTTCAGAGCTGACAGTTTTTAGAAAATCTTGTGTGAACCATTTCGTCTTTCGGGTCCATGTCCCATGTGATCCCATGATTGTGGATCCGAGATGGAACTTGTGGGATTTTCAAAAAATTCAACTCTGAAGAAATTCAAAAATAATATATGTCATTTGGAAGCCTTTGTAAACCATGTTTTCCACAACAATTCCACGCTTGAAGATCACTAATATAATGGACGATGGCCATCTCAATTTTTGTTTTTGGCTGTCTGGGATTTGTTCACATTGCCTGTTGGGCAGGCGGTTGAACCTGTTGAAGCATTATTAAGGGTGCGTTCGGAGAGCGCGAAATATTCCCCGTCATCGTGAAAATTCCCCGTGTTGCGTTCGGAGAGGGACATTCCATACCGCCAATTTCAAGGATCGGCGCTACTGCGCCAAGTTGAGTTCGTGGGATTTTGTTTGGGTTATTTGGGTTATTTGGTTATTTGGAACGCTACATCTATGGCAAGATGTAATAAGAATGAAGCTCTTGAAGAAAGAACAACTAAGAAAAATCACAATTATTTTCAAAAAGTCCCATCTGTACTGTGCCCCCCTCCCCCACCCCAAACACACACAACACAACACTTCAAATTATCGTTTTTATTGCTTCAGAGGACAACCACAACTGAGTAAGCATTGTCAATGGTTGGATTTGCAATAAAACTGATCAGGGTGGAAACAAACGCAAGCAATATCCATTTATATTCAATAATATACTCACTCGAGCATATTGATGGGCGCCGCCATCTTCACGGGAACGACGCGTGAGATGCTTTTTAGATTCCGCGCTTTCCGCGTCCGTTCCGCGGAACTTTCCCCGGGAATCGCTCTCCGAACGGCACATTCGGCGGAAATTTCATGCCGGCGTGGAATATTCCCCGGGAATCTGCCTCTCCGAACGCACCCTAACTCACATTCCACTAGTTAGCTCATGGTTATAAGTAATGAAAGGGATGAAAGAATGTTAAGTTCAGTGTTTAGTGCAGTGAAAATTGAATGGTCCATTGTGTTTTGAAGTGCTTTCTTTTCTTTGATTTTAATACACTTCATCAATGACAAATGTGTCTCATGTTCCAGTATGGAACAGGCATTTACATTCACTGCCCACTGTTTGGTTTTGTGGGCCTCTGTCTTTTGTCACTTCTCATTTTTTTCTGATGGCTTTGAATCTTTGATTTTGAACTTCTAGACTGGTGATTTCCACCTTTTGGATTTATTTTGTTTTCCTGCCTGGTATTCATATTAACATGAATAATCAACTACCTACCTTATACCTGTAACTAGTCCAGTTAGTAGTTAAGTGATGACTGAAGCATTCACTGAATGCCATTCAGTCTATTTTTTAGTTCTTACCTGTTTTCAGAATGCCACCAGTCATGGAAAGTAATTGTGTTTGTAAACAAGACACTGTTCAATTGTGATTTTGGAGTCCTGTTTATCATATAATGTGATGTCTTTTTTTCAGTTCAGGACATGAAGCTTTCGCCTCTGCCCCTTCTCTTGGCTGTTGTGTGTGTAAATGGGCGACTTGACCTAGAAATAAATGAGAAGCACCATGCTGCATTGGGAGCATGCCAGGCCTGCAAGGCTGTCGTGAAGTCATTCAAAGCAGTAAGTATTTATGTATTCATCATTTCTGATATTTAAAAACCTTGTTGGCCAGCATTTTGTGGTGCTAAAATGTCAGTGTTTTGAATTTTATGCTGCAAACCCTTGCTCTTGCCTCAGTATCATGGCCAAGACATTGCCACCCCCTCAGTAAATTCTCACCCTCTGACCTCTCACCCAGGCCATGGAGAAGACGGCTCGCGGCTACCACGAGGGCGGTGACACCGACTGGGAGGAAAAGAAACTTAAGAACTATGCTCACTCTGAGGTCCGCCTGGCAGAGATCCAGTCCATGCTCTGTACGGACATTGTCGTCGGCAAGAGCCAGGTCGGTGGATGGAATTTAAATGATGTAGCTTTTTGCGTGCTGTTTCTATCTGTCCGATGTTCGCATTAGCTGGAATTATACTCTAAAGTTACATTTTTTGCCGTATTTTTTCACAGTCCTACGCTGTCGTCATTGGTGTATATTCGTAGAATGGTGGATTACGTGACGTTTTTTGCTTCCTGGCAGTGTCACGACGTGGCCAACGACGCCGAGGAGGCGATAGAGACGGAGTGGTGGCCGGCCGAGCCGCGGCCCGACCTCCACCTGTGGCTGTGTGTGGAGCGGCGGCGCGTCTGCTGTCCGGCCGGCCACTACGGACCCACCTGCCAGCCGTGTCCCGGCGGCCCGGACACGCCCTGTTCCGGACACGGACACTGCAAGGTGAGAGACTACCCCGGACACGGTGAGAGATTGCTCCGGATATGGACACTGCAAGGTGAGAGACTGCTCCGGACATGGTGAGAGACTGCTCCGGACACGGACGCTGCAAGGTGAGACACTGCTCCGGACACTGCAAGGCGAGACACTGCTCCGGACACGGTGAGAGACTGCTCCGGACACGGAGACTGCAAGGTGAGAGACTGCTCCGGACACGGACACTGCAAGGTGAGACACTGCTCCGGACACGGTGAGAGGCTGCTCCGGACACGGACACTGCAAGATGAGACACTGATCCGGACACGGACACTGGTGAGAGACTACTCCGGACACTGTGAGGTGGGACACTGCTCCGGACATGGTGAGAGGCTGCTTGGGACTTGGGGACTGCAAGGTGAGAGACTGCTGCGGACATGGTCCAACTGCAGGCCTGCAGGGCGAGAGACTGCTCCAGACACGGAGACTGCAAAGTTAGAGATACACTTATCGAAGTGCTGCGGACGTTTGCAGTCAGAGATTTGAGACTGGTTTCTGTGATTGAATGGTGGGCTACGAATACCGCTGCTATCTCGCTGCCTTTCACTCATTAGCTCTTCTTATTGATACGAACTTGTCCATCCAGTGACTCGAGCTCTCTGCTTTCCCTCTCTTCTGTACTCCAGGGTGACGGCTCGAGGAAGGGCAGCGGCGCCTGTGCCTGCAACAAGGGCTATTCTGGCACGCTGTGCAACGCGTGCAATGTCACCGACCATTACGAGGCCTACAAGGACGATAATAAGTTGGTCTGCTCGCCGTGCCACAAGTCCTGCGACGGAGCCTGCGCAGGGGTAAGTGTCGGTGTTGGATTTTTTCTTTGCATGTCTTTTCTGTGAGTTTCGTTTGCACGTTTCGAGGAGACTATCACCATCCGACATCTTCATATTATGTGACGTACTTTTGAGTGTTATGTATTCAGTTGACAATGTCAGCAAATATACCCAAGAATGACCTTGCGTTTTCTCCACAGATTTAGGTGTTGTTTGCATGTGATACTGATTATCAACCCGGCTCCCTCCATCTCTTACAGGCTGGTCCTAAGCACTGCGTCCGCTGCGCCTCTGGCTACCAATGGGAGTCACGGCGTGTTGTGTGCCCATTGCCCAGTACTGACAGAGCTCCCTTCGTCCTCACAGGCTGGTCCTAAGCACTGCGTCCGCTGCGCCTCTGGCTACCAGTGGGAGTCCGAATACGGCTGCTCGGACATCAACGAGTGCCTGAAGCCGGACACGTGCCGCACCAACCAGCTGTGCATCAACGACCCCGGCAAATACACCTGCATGGGTAAGGAACTACAGGGGCTGTGTGGGCGAGGGATGGGGACTAGGGCGTATATGTGGCCGTCCTAAAACGATTTTGGTAATAACCCCTGCCTGGTATTGGGTGAGCTGACTGGCTGGGTTTTGTGGGCGAGGAATGGAGATTGGAGCTTATATGTGACGGTACTGAGAACGCCTTCGGTAAATACACCATATGTGAGCTTACTGGCCAGGGTATGTGTGGGTTATCTGGGCGATGAATGTGACTGACGGGATGTGGCCGTATGGTCGGGCGAGGTCGGGTGATGCTTGACCCGACATCTGGCGGCGGGTTTGAATGCTTGAACGTTCAGAGGAGATGCGATAGATGGTGTCAAGATGAGGTGGTTCTCCGTGATTGCGAGAGGAGCCAGGCCGTTCCATTCAATTTGTCTGTCTTTTTGGTCTTAAAATGCCAGTGATTGTTTTAAGATTTACTTGTGTTTTAAAGCGGCAACCTGTCAATGCCCTCGGGGGATCGGTTGAAATGTTCCGGTTCACCTTATCACTGTGCCTTTTTGGAAAGGGTGTTAGGTCAAGTACCAATAAAATGGTACAGCCAATAAGTTCGTGCCAAAGCGGTCGGGTAACTCATCAATCTCTGTTCAATACCAGACGTTGCTAATAAGCTCGGTAGTTAGTTAGCATCAGGTTTGCAGACTCGCATGTTTGTCCACATTAAAACAATCATGAGCTTCAGAAAAGAAACTGAACAGCTGGCTCTGCGCGTCTTCCACGGATGGCTTTTTTGGTGAAATGTCAAGGCTTCTGTTTTGCCTATCTTTGGTCGACGTCCAATTTTTGTCTGCAACAAATTGGCTGCCCTGTCGATGATCGCAGTTAAGCTTTCAAAGAACGGCACCATTTAGGGTAAATACCTCATCCCCACTTATGCGTCCTAAATCGGCCAGCTCAGTAGGAATCAGCTGCGTCTGATTGATCAAAGCAGACCGATGCCCGTTAGAAATGCGGCCGTAATCCGCTCTGTTGCGACCGTCATGCTGTCGGGCTATTGGTAGGATCGACCTCTGTGATGGCTCCCCTCCATAATGGGGGCCGTTCTTGGCTCATCAAAATACGGCGTAGTCCGCGGAACGGCCGGGCCAGATCGACCCGCGCCGGCCGGACTCCCTGACGCCGCAGCCAACGAGAGCGATGACGGTGTGGATGGTGACTGTGACGGCATTTCCTATTGTGACTGAGACTGGCATACTGATCGTAATGGCTAGCAAGACGAGCTGCACCGGGCAGGACTCAGTGACGACAACTTTCCTGGTGACTGTTGACAATTTCCATGACGATGATAAAAGGAATGATGCCGAGTGCGAATGGTGAATTACACGCCAGCCTATCGGAACAAACCAGTACCGCAGCATTTCTTCTCGTATTCCAATTTTCTTTCCTCTCACTTTTGCACGGGCATCCATGTTTTGTTTGTGGCTGATGCCGACCTATGTCAACTTCATGACAGTCATCATTGACCGCAAGTAAGATGAACTTCTTCTTAACGATTGCCTCATGTTTACTGATCTCCACTCAATGATAGGGACCTCGGAAGTGTTTGTTGTTCTGTGTATGCTGGACATCAGTCAGCTTGTTGTTTTGATAACGGCTAGTGTAACCCTGCACCAGCACGAACTCAACTGATGATGATCGGAGGGTTCCTTTGAAATGATAGTTTGATGTTCTAGTTTGCAAATGTTGCTTCGATTGTTTAATCGGAGCAAGTATATGTATGCCAGCTGCATGCTAAAACAGTGAAACAACTGCGCAATGGCCACCCGAAGAGCCATGTTGGTACGTTAATGACATCCCACGCTGCTTCAATAAACGTCTGGTGTAGTTCATGTGTAGGCCAAATGCATTTACGTAAAAGCGCAGTCTAATCTGAATTTCAACTGACCTTTGCATCCTTCCGATTGTAAACTTCCTGGCCGGGAGCAGAGAATGGCGGTTCATTTGTTAGCTCGGTCCCGTCCCGATGGACTGGCTCTGTGATCCTCGGTGGCCCAATTTGGGTAGAAGTTTCTGTGTCAAAGTCGGATAGAGTGCGGTAACTCTGGTCTGGATGGGCCGAATTACTCCACGAGATATCGCTCGGGGACATAGGACGATGCGATATTCGGTCTCCGGAGTCCGGAATCGGATCGCATCGGCTCAGACACGGGGGCGATCTGGCTGAACTTTCGTCCCGCGTGTGTCTTTGGTCAGACTAGGCTCGGGCTGAAATGTATTCTAACTACTGTCGTTAAAGCGTATTCACGTTCGATGTTGATCGCTCATGGCAGGTTTCTCATTTTTGAGTCGTCGAACCAGGGGAAATGGAACCGATACATTCCGCGGTTATATGTTCTATCGTTATGTGTTCGTGTAATTTTACCTCTACAAGAGCTGAAATAGAATGCTAAAAGCAGGTTCATTCTGAAAAGATACTTAGTGTTATTAAATCAGAGTCTCCGTGATTTAATTTGAATCTCATGCTGACCTATGGGCAGACATGACTCCAAGCAATATCTCCGACTGAACTGAATTCAGAACCAGTCGCTGAAATCGTTGAACTGCGAGCCAGCCGGGCCCGCTGGCCGCCGGATGTGCCCCGTGTCCCCCCCCCCCCCCCACCCCCGACGGCCAGTCTGGGGGGAGGGGGTGACGACTCGCTGAAGTGGGGGTCGTTCATATGCAGTCTGCCGGCCGGCCGACGGACCGATGGACGGCCGCCGCTCCGACGGCTTTGATCCGCCGTCTCTGTTACGTCACCTAGGCCGGCCGACGGACAGAGGGCCGGTCCGTGGCGGGGGCTGAGGCTCCGAGTTAAATGTCGGCTGCAGCTTGGCGAGCGGGCTGCCGCAGCGGTTCGGTCCGTGACGGAGGTTGAGGTCCCAGGGTAAATGTCGGCTGCAGCTGGTGCCGATGACGGCTCGCAGCTCGAAAGGAGGCGCGTGATCAGAATTTGTTCTACGCGGTACTCGGCGCTGTTTGGGATGCCGCGTTGGTGGTGTTATTGGAATGGCCGACTCGGATTAACATTGGAAGTTAGTCAGAGTTCGGAGCTTGCTCTGACAAGTGTTATTTATTTCCGACATTTGCAGTGGCGAAACTTTCCGGGCAGGTTTGTTTACCGCCGGTAACGTAAAAATTAGTGGCAATGAGGAAAACAGGAGCAGTGTGCCTTGCGTGACGCCAAGGAAACGGGCACCCGGCACACTATGCTTCTAGCTGACGTAGTATCTCCTTCTGAGTTCACCTTGTTTCCTTCCGACACACGATATTCCTTCACGGCATTCATACCCTCTCACCTCTGTTAAATAACAGCGCTCGTTTGTGTCGTGGGCGGTGCGGGGCTGTCATGTTCCGGTGCCAATTAACCGGTCACGTTCAGGGAGCTGCTGCGCCGCGCGCCGCGCGCTATAGGTCAGCACCTCGAGCCCGGCGGTGGCTGGACTGCTCTGATCTGACCCAGCGACCCCGCTGACCCCACCGACCCCGCCGGCCGGGCTGTTTCATCTCGGAGTCAATCAACGGCCCGGCGCCTTACTGGGATTGGAGGCCACTTAGTCCGCTCTTATCCGGAAAGGTATCGACCTGTGGTGTGGAGCACGGGAAACGGTCGGCCCGGGCGGGCTGCGTGCTTATGTGAAGGTTTGCTGTGGAGTGTCAAAATTGCGTGGAGGAGGTGAAGAGAGCGACTGAAGCCATGTTGTCGTGGCGATTTGATGTCGTTTTAATCCCTGGGGATGGTATTAGGCTTAGTGTTTGGTGTGTGTTGAGACGTGTGACGTGCCTCGGTGGCATTTCCGGACGATGTACCGTGACCTGACCTTTGCCTGTGGTGTTTCAGACTGCGACAGGGCGTGTGCCACGTGCCACGGCGACGGTCCCGATATGTGTCACGAGTGTGCTACTGGATACGTCAAGAAAGGCAAACTTTGTGTCGGTGAGTACGGGCGCAGAGCGCAGGTCAGGGTAGACCCAGGGTCGGCTAGACGTAGTGTTTACGTGGGCAGTCCTTCTTGGCTGCACTACGGCTGTAATCATTGGTATCGGAAACGTCATAACCCTTAACTTGTGATGGAATGTATCGCCCTCAACTCCCAGCATGCTGTAGAACGTAGCCCGGTAGGACTGAGCTGGTCAGTGCAGGATCGCGAATAGTTGTCCTTCATGTGTCTCGACTTTCCATTGTCTTATCAGATGACACCACTGAAAACTCTTATCCAAGAAGGGCGTCTGGCGTCACACTGCTTCTCTCCCTGAACGTCCTTCTCTTTATGTCCCTCTCCCTTCTCCCCTCCCTCTTCCCTTTCTTCAAAAGCCATAGGCCTTACTTTCCTTCCATGCATTGCACGATACATGTCTGTAACGCTCGTCTACAGTTTGTATGGGCACTGCTTTCGCTGGAATTTTCCTGCTGAAGATTACTTTCAGATAGCTCTTCAGCGAGTGAATATACGCATTGTCATCGAGTTATTTTCGTCCTTGGCATGCTACAGTGGAATGTATCAAAAGCATCCAGTGCATCATCGATATATTGATGCGACAACCGTCGTATTCAGCACGTGCCTTGCGAGCCATATCTCATAGAAATAGCCTGCTTTGTTCCTGAGGAATGTATGAATTTCGTTTCTTATCGAACTTCCATGACTGATAATCTTGCATTGATTTCCGTATTTCGCGGTAGCGTATCCATTGTGTTTTAGCCATGTATTTGGTCATTGGTGTCCCGGGTTTTCGTATGAAACCTTTTCAGTATATCATCCGTATCATCATGCATTTATGTGGATGCCGCACGTTCATGTTGTTTTGTTGTTTCTTGCGGTGATGCAATGTATCCTGTTGTTTATTCATCACGTGCTAAGTCCATGCTGCTGGCCGCCATTCAGGCTGGCCTCTGCACGCTAAGCAGAATAACAAAATAACCAACTATCCGATCATAGGGAACGTTGACGCTTTGTTTTGCTCTGCGTTCAATGATTCATGAAGAAGTGCCCGCTCGAATAATGGCACATTGTTTATAAGCGATGTGTGGCAGCTGATTTGACGTGTACCGGCCAGTGACGGTCCGACTCTTGACGGGTTAGTGACGAGGGCGACACACGTCATCAAGTTTGACAGTTTGGACTGTGACGGATCGTCAATGTCATTACCGACTCGGTATTTGTTTTGAAATTAGACGTTGATTACACTGTGTGCAATACGTAAGGGCGTGGCTTGCGTCATGTGCAGTGATGAAATTAGTGTCATTGACGCTTATGAAACGGCGTTGAGACGTGTTCTTATTTTAATTTTGGGCCATCATGCACTTGCAGATGATCACGTCGTTAATGTTTTTACACTTGTTGCTTTGCAGAATTAATAGTGTTATTAACGACTAATCATGTAATAATTATTTGTTATTAAATCCGACGCTGAGCTTACGGATAGACTCTATAGGGCAGGGGTCGGCAAATGGTGGGGCATGCCCCCTTTGGGGGTAATGGAGCCCTTTCGATGGGGGTAATGAGGGATTCTGAGAAAGCCTATCTTTTTAGAGTTTGTAGCTCCAGTGATGGAGCCATCGTGACTGTTGCATCCCAGGGTTCAAAGATTAGCCCAGGCCAAAGGCACAGCACACATTGATTAGATACCAATTTTCACGTACCTGCTCGCCTCACCATCTCACCCCTCCGTACAGTCGTACAAAAGCAGCTGCAACTTTTAACCGTCGCCCGTCTGTTGGCGTTTCAACAGCCGCTAACGTAAGGGGGAGGAGTCGATCGGACCCCCGCGGCCTCTCGGATTCTGAGATGGAGCTGTGCATAAAAAAGACGAGCGTGCTACCCGTGACAATAGGAAGCCGCTGCTGCCCATTTTTAAGGTCCTTGGTCATTCCGTCTCATTCAAGAGGTCAATGACAAGTGTCGAGAAAATCGGGACCCGCTATAACTTCTTGAAGTGAGATTTTATGGCTCAAGATGATCTCCAGAAAAAAGCTCATAAGCCAACGGTCATTATGGGTCCAGAGGCCAGTTTTACCAACAGAAAAATAGCCGCCTGCCGGAATTTTTTGCCTAAAGATCGTTTCACATATGGAGCGTAAACGGTAAAGCCCTATCCGCTTACGAGCCCATCGCGTTTACGCTCCGCAAGTGAAGCGGTCTTGAGGCAAATATTCCGGCAGGCGGTTATTTTTCTGTTGGTTAAACTGGTCTCAGGTCATGATATTTTCCGGGCTGGTAAAAAAAAAAAATGATGGGCTCGAGGGTACAATTTGGTCGTGATCCAATGCCTTTTACGTGAGCTTTTAACGAAAAACCACCCGCCGCCCCTATACGTACAAGGGTTAAATGGGATATAGCATAGGCGGCGGAACTTGGAGGGCACCGGGGCACCGTTGCACCCTTTGATTTTTGCATTTTAACATTAGCCCTATGGGCGTTGCATGGAAAGAATGGGATCAAAAGTCGGCAGTGCCCCCCCCCCCTCTCCCTCTCCCTTAATTGAAGGTGTTCCGCCGCTACTGGGATATAGGTATTAAATGTTTTGTGGAGGAAGTGTCATGTTTTAAATTTGATGCATTGGAAATGCACAAATACCCAAAGAGTTCCAGGACGGTATGGAATTTCAGTAAACTTGGTTGTGTCAGCAATGGGGTCTGGTAGGTGGGGGTAATGGCCCTGCCTGGCGCCCAAAAAGGGGGCACGACCCCGAATGACCTGCCGACCACTGCTATAGGGTGTTGTGTCGTATACGAGTGCCTCTCCAGCCCTGAACCACCACTCGGCCGTATCCCGTCACAGCGCGCTCCTTCTCTCCCCGCGGCGCCCGTCTCGCCGGCGCGGCTGACGGAGCCGGCCGTGCTGTGTTACAGACAGCGAGGCGGTCGGCAAGGAACAGCACGTGACGGTGGCGCGCTACCTCACCTACCTGGGCCTGTGTCTGGCCACCTGCATACTGCTTCAGCGGAGCGTCAGCTTGGCCGCCATCGTGGGCCTCCTGGTGGCCGGCTACATCACACTGTCCGAGTACCACCTGGACAGCCGCAGCAGCCTCTGACCGCTCGCCGCCGGCTAGCCGCGCCCCGTACAGTGAGACACTGAGACATTGAGACACTGGAGACAATAGAGAGACAGTGGGAAACAGCGGGAGACCGTCAGAAACAGTGGAGAGGAACGGTGGATACTGGGACTGGCGAGGCCGGAGTGCGAGTTGGTTACTAGAGGCGAAGGAGATAAGACTGAAGTCAGTGTGGAGTTTTGGGCAATCGGTGCGAGTGCTGGTGTGTGGGGTCTGGCGAGTGGGTCGTGTGGGAAGAATGGTGGTGGATGTCTTGCAAAGGGGTGTGTTACTATGGGCTAGGAGGTTTACAAAGAGGCTTGGCAAACCGCGATGCAGCAAGAGTGTGTGTGCTCCGATGAACGTCCGGCAGCACTCAGTTCTGGTGAAGAGGAGTGCGACAGCGCGAAAGAGAACAATCATGAGTTGTGAGAAGATATCATGACTGGTGGAGCAACTCTCAGGACACGGCAGTGGTGTGGTGCTGATGAAGTCAGTGCAGCTAAGGAAACATCAGTCTCGACGTTGTGCCATGTCTCGCCGAAGTATCTTCTCACCGCTCCTAGTCTTGCGTGTGTGGATAGATCGCACCCAGTGGTCAAGTCGGCTGTCATGGTGCCTACAGTTACATCTTAGGAACTTCCATGGCTTCTTGACATTCTATATCCACGTCTGTCCTCAATATTGCACCGACTGTATTCCACAATGAGGAGTTTGCACCTGCACTGTTTCTCTACGTTTGTACTGCGATTGGGAGGAATATGGTCTCGTGGATAGTAGTTAAGGACGACGGGGCGATATCGTGATAGCCAGCTGTCGTTGTGTGGTGGCATTCTGAAGGTGGCACTCTACAGTGAACCGATTCCAGCAGTAACTCCCACTTAGCGCTGCAGGTAGAGATGGATTCTGTTCGGAATCGCGGATATGCCAGTTTTTGAGGTGTGGGAAATAGTTCCATGGACGGGTGCGCGCACAGCTTGAGTTGGCGGAATAGATTTGAATCTAGTCTTGTTTTTCGTTGAGTGGTCCTCGCGATGTATGTACTTTGTCATAAAGGATTGTGATATTGATTGTTTGTGGATCTGAGACATGAGTTGGTCCATGCTGTATGATCTTTGGTTTTTTAGGAAATTTGAAGCTCTGAAGGTATCTGAATGGTATCCCTAAATCTTTTTTCGGGGAGTGTATTTCCTTTGGATATTGTGATGATAGCTAGGCATTTATTCGTATATTTTTTCCTTGAGTTTGATCTCGCGAGATCCACAGCTAACCTCACTCTCTGTAGGCGCCCATTGCTCGTGCACATTCTATGCTGACATTGCTCATACAAACTGTGCTGCAAATAGTTGGTTGATGCGTAACATTTGACAGCTTGTCACATCTTTGGAAATACGGAGCGAGGGGCATAGAGCGTTCAATACCACAGTGAACATAGGATACACAACACACAATGAATGAAATGAGATATTTGCTATTAATTTGGCGGCAGTAATCGTTCATGTTGAAAAGATCACTTTTTCCTAGCACTGCACTGTAAAGCGTCTACCGCTCCACAATGTTTCTATTGTTCTAATTCTTATTGTTTGTCACACGTTCACGTCCAGGGACAATGCTCTGTCCCTCGAACACAACACGTCTTGTCTCTCTTCCGGTTGCTGTCTTGTCCTTCGCTACCAACATGCTCACTCCGCTGATTGATAAAACCCAGCCGCTAAGGTGTGCTCAGTCACTACAAAGCAGGGATGTCCTGTGGTGTGTTGCCCATCGGCCAGACGGCATGTTCCTAACACCTACAGAGCTGCTGTGATCAAAAGGTTACTAAATCGCTTTAGTTCCAAATGTCGTTCTGTTTGACCGAGACTCTTGTGCCTTGCAAGCTGCGGAGTTGAATTGAGGTCCTTTCTTTTTTAGCACTAATCCTCGCTGTTCGACGCTGTTATCTATTTATTTTTCTTTTGTTTTGGTTTCTTATGCAGTTCGTCGTCCCTACTTTCAGACGAGGCGAAAGCCGACGAATATGACGACGATGAGGAGTCTAACGAAGAGGAGACATCCGGTGATCTGAATCCCCCCGAGAACGAAGATCTAGCATCTGACTCGGCCAACGCCGAGCAGGTTTCCGATGAGCAGCCATCGACAGAATCTACGGATGATGCTGTGCCCTCAGAAGCGGAAAGTGCCACGTCACACACGGAGCTATGACATAATCGGCGCATAGCATCTAGGAACATTGAAGTGTCAAGGTCAGTGGCATTGACACGATGTACGCAATATTTGGGATGTCGAAAACGCTGTGACATCGACACGAGATGGAATGGTAGGACCGGTGGAATTGGAATTTTTGGTGTGGTGTAAGCCAAGCTTTTATCGACGCACACTGTGACTGACTCCTGCGCTCAGCCGTAGCGAAGGGGACGGCGATCATGACTGAGCAACTTACTTAGACATTAGCCTCAGGATATGTTGTACTGCTGGACAAGGTTGGGCTCAAACGAAGCTAGGAAAGCACACGTTTATCGGCAGATCTCCAGTCTGGCGTTACTCTCGTTAGTTCGACACTAATCGATTATTTATTCGAGTAGATGCTTGCGACATGGCACAACGAGTCATTATTCTCCGTTATGATGTGTGTTATGTGCTAGGGTGTGGGATTTTTCCCGAGGGAAGGGGTTGGGTGGAAATTGTGTGTGAAGGGTGACGGTTTGTTTTATTTGATGTGACGTTCGTCCTGAGAAATTTGTGGCATTTTGGTGGTTTTTCCTTCTATTGCCGTGAACTCGAACCAGTCGTAATTATTCCATCAGTATTTTATCATAACACACTATCGAAGCTCGTTTTATCTGGATCGCACCGCTTACTTGTCAGTAAGTAAGTAAAAGTGTGCGTTCCAGGTCAGCAGCCTAAATTGCATCGTTACAAAATTGGTTCTTGCTTTAAAACAATTGAGACGAGCTAGGCTAGACACATGTTTCTCATCATTTCATCACGATACCTATATTTCGTTTTACATATCTCGTTGCAAGGTCCGTCTTATGTGGTGTTATTAAATGTGCCGTGCATTGCCTTGGGTGTGTTTTATGTTCATTCCATGCCCAATAAATGTGGGTCAAGATCCTACTAATTGTTTTGTACAAGCATGTTTCATTTTCTTTCGTATTCATTTTTGTATTTCGTCCAGATAAGGTCCTTCCTTCTTTGGTGTTTTAGTTTTTGTGTGTGTGCGTGTTTACTTGTGAAAGAATGATTTTAAAATGACGCTCGGGCGATCGACGAGCAAAAATGAGTAGGGTAGTGTGGGGTAATTTGAACATATTTTTACGTTTTCTCCGTTGTACCAAATTCCAGCTCAACCCTGGATGAAGAAAAACTGTTTCAGTAGCGCATGTGTCACTTGCTTTTACCATGCAAGCCTCATTTTTGGACGAGCCAAGCATACCTTGAATAGCATAGCATCACTTATCCACCAAGTCACGGTGTGTTTAAATTGCCCCACTGTGGGGTAATTTGAACATACTGCCTTTACCTGCCATAAAAAAGATAGTCTCGCCAACACCGATGCTGCTTGACCCATAAACGAATAGGCAGAGCAATTCTAAACATACCTTCATTTGAAAAATCAACACAACAACAAAAATAGCAGTTGCAGAGTATCAATATCTGCACGCTGCACACCGGTCAGTTGACAGAATTCGCCTCTCTTCAATTAACAGAACGTCTATCGTCTCCGTTCGATACAAACTCTACCAATCCTTACTTCATCTGATATAGTGGTGCCAATCGGAACCTGGACATTCGGAGTTCCGATACTTTGTAATGTCCAATTCGGAATTGATTGCACAAGGGTAAAGTAGTCTGGACAACATTGGACGATGGCCTGCCACACTTAAGCATTTTTATCAAGTAATCGTGCGTAGCATTGATTGGCGAATGGAAAGCTTGTTAAGCTCTCAATATAATAAACACTTTTCGGCTGGTAAAATTACATGATAAGCAATATAAATGACGGTTTTGAGTGTTGATAGCTGCATAATTTTCGGACATATTTGGACAAATAGTTGACTTTAACATTTTTGGACGGAAAATTAACGAAAATGCCGGACATTAGACGGATATTAGACGTAAATTTTCTAAAACTGGCATCACTTATCTGCTACTGCTTTGGGTCGAAAATATTGGTCAAAAAAAAAACTGGGAGCGTTGTTTTTTCGGAGCTATCCCTGTCTCCATTGAAATTCTCACACTATGTTCAAATTACCCCACGCTAAAAGTTATTTTGCCATTTTTAAAAACAGGGTTCAAAAGCAAATTTCTTGGATTGAAGGCACTGATTAGGTCATTGTACAACAACAGCCGTTGCGTCGGTATTAGGCGCTAGCAATGCAAGATTTTGCGCTGCAATGAAGTTGCAATGACGTGTTGTTAGGCGTTTATCCTTGCGAAATTGATTTTTTACACTGTGCGTCAACATCTTCATTCCCTGAAACTTTAAATCCCGTTCATATGATAGCCCTTTTAGTTACGATAATTTCTCTCATTGGTCTTATTGTCATGCCACTTATGGATTTTCCGTAATTTTGTGTTATTCACACTATGTTCAAATTGCCCCACATGTTCAAATTACCCCACCCTACCCTATATGAAGCGCCAAGACCCATCAACTAAAAACAAACACGAGTAGAATAAGTTGTTGCACAACGGTTTAACCCGGCCGGGCCCGGGGGGTAATCCCAACCACCGCAGCCCGGGGGGGGGCGTTTTTCGCCCCCCCTGTCTAACTCCGTAAATAAGAGAGCTACGGAAACAAAAGCGATACCAAACGAAAGGTCCTTACGAGACGATTCTAATGCACCTAAAATTTTTGACCTCAGGTCAATTTTCAAGGTCAGAGGTCAAGGTCAAAGGCCAAAACCGGCACATGTGTAGTGATCTCAAAGTAAGCCTTCTAGAGGACGGCAGGCTGCATCAAACCGGCAAAATTGGGTGTCAAACGAAAGAAGAGAATCTGAGGATTCTGAAAATGTGCTCTAAAGCAAAGGTCAAGGTCAAGGTCACGCTCAAAATTGACCTCAAACTTGGCACTTTTTCGCACATCTTGCGTGCTAACTTCCAAGATGTTTTGAAATGTTTTGAGGCTTATCAGTTCCCTATTTGTGGTTCATCTTACGATACAAGGCTGCTCAAAGGTCAAGGTCACAGAAGAGTATCCCTGCTAGAGGCTATTTCACTTACTAAGTTAGTAATAATAAATAAGACAATTTTGCCATCCGGAAGCTCTAAATGAAGGCTTAGAGGAAAATAGATGCCAGATTCGTGATCAGCGGGTACAAATCCATCATAAACGACCTTTCATGTGTCAAGGTCAACCAGAGGTCATTCGAGGTCACATGAGGTCAACATGAAACTTGACCTTTTCCGAACAAAATATATATCATTCGACGCGGCTTGACAAGGCAAATGCGATGGTACCACTGCCGTAGCTCTAGGACCATTTTTGTCGAAGTTATTTGCGAAAAACTAAAACCACATTTCGGGGTCGTTGACCTGACCTCTGACCTCAGGTCACCAAAACTATTTTTCTATTTTTCTCTAGGTCAAACGCTACACAGCCGTGCTCGTAATTTGTCTTTATCTCTAAAACTCTATTTTTAGCAGCTACTTGAAGTTTGCGTCTGTGACGCCGAAGTTTGCCGTGCAGGGGTCTAGAAAAATGGACCTTGTGACGTCATCAAGGGGGCTAGGTCCAAATTTTTTACTTCAGAAGATGTCAAATTGATGGGAGAAAAGGTACTGAAAGTTTCGCCTTCCTATCCCTAAGCGTTCGGGAGTTATCGCAAATATTCGCCAGGGGGGGCGAAAAACGCCCCCCCCGGGCCCGCGAGGGTTAATAATTACCTACAACAGTTTCGTATTTCAAGTTGCTCATACGCGGCCATTGCATTGTTTTCAGGTAACGTCTCGTGCACAATCTCACTGGTCTTTTTGTATTCAAACTATATTTGGTTAGTAAGTAGTAAGTACTAAGTACCTCATTAGTGGAGTGAGTAAGCACATGCTTTGTTATTCAGACTCGGCTAATGCATACACCTTTTTATGCCTAATTTAGGCGGCAGTGCACACATTTCAGTAATAATGCAGGCGATTTCGACATTACGCCATAGTCTGCTATGCCAAACTGTGGAAATCACGAGCGTCCATCGCGACGCGACGCTGGCGGGTCACGATGTGCCTTTGGTCGTGACGTTTTCCAGTTTATTGTGTCGGCTGTGAGCCATCCCGCTTGCTGTAGGTCACACTGTACTTCATCGGTGTCTGAACCACTCCGAACTTGGTGTCGAGCGACAGATTCTGCCCGGGGACTGCGGAGAACCGGAATCGCTGCATCAGACCCGCGAACAAAATGAACGTCTCCATTCGCGCCAGCGTCTCGCCGAGGCAGAACCTCCTGCCGACGCCGAACGGAATCAGACGCTCGTCGTGTCGCACTGCGCCGTCGGCGGTGAGGAACCTCTCCGGTCGGAAGGCCTCCGGGTCTCCCCAGTACTCGGGGTCCATGTGGATCTCCTGCAGGTGCATGTAGACGAAGGTGTCCTTGGGGATGGTGTATCCGGCCAGCGTGGTGTCGCAGGTGGTGCTGTGTGGTATGCCCTGCGGTGTGATGGTGCACCGCCGACTGACCTCCATCAGGGTGGCCTCCGTGTACGGCAGGCGCGACCGGTCGCTGTAGGAGGGCAGCCCGCCGCCCAGCACAGCGTCCAGCTCCTGCTGCACGCGAGTCTGCACGTCCGGGTACATCACCATCAGCAGGACGGACCAGTGCAGCATCGTCGCCGACGTCTCCATCCCGGCCACGAAGAAGTCCATGCTGACGATGACCAGGTTTCGTTCGGTGAACTGACGCGCCTCCGCGTCCTCCGACTCCATCTCGATGAGGAATTGGTCGATAAAGTCGCGCGGACTGGAGCGGTCCAGGGTCTGCCGGTGCTCGGCGATGATCTTGTCGAAGATGCCGATGGTGGTCTCGCGATGGCGGATCAGCGGCGCGTACCCGCTCCACTCGGGGAAGAAGTGCCGCAGCCACGGCGCGATGTTCATCGGGCTGCGCGGGCCCACCACCCGGAAGAACTCGCTCACGCTGTGTAGCATCTGCTTCGCCTCGGAGCTGTTTCGATCTACCCTCATGCTGGCCACCATCTGCCAGACGACGTTGAGGACCGTGATGTTGAAGAAGTCGTTGTGGATTGTCAACGGCGAGTCGATATTTTGTTCCATCTCTTGGGCGAGACTTTCGAATTCATCCAGCACCACACCCTCCATCGACTGTTTACCAAAGCCGAGATCTCGCAGATGTCTCAGCGAGAACCGGCGGTGCTCCTTCCAGGTAGGTCCTTCGTTGAAGATGATGCCCAGCTTTTGCTGAAAGCTGCGCACTAGTGAGGTGAACAGGGAAGGTCTGCCGGAGAACTCCGGCATCGCGGTCGCCTCCTTGATGAGGTCGAAGTCGAGCAGGTGCACCGCCCGCTGTCCGGTCGGCATGATGATGCCGATGATGTCGCCGAATTCCTTCCGACATTTGGCGATCAGCGGTCTGAAGATGCCCTTCCGGGTCTCATTGATGAACTCGATGTTGCCGAAAATCAGGAATGTTGGCGGGCCTGCAATGAGGAATCGGAAACGGCACGTAAATATGTTTTTTTTTTAGGGCTTTGGCCCGCACCTGTACGAACACACTGCCAATTTCTGGAACGTTTCACTCTGGATGAATCCTAATGATAGTTGGTCGTTACGGTTGATCAATTCTTTTTTCAACGGATAGCCTTTTCTAACAAGTAACACTCATCGTATTTATTTCAGTGAACGCCTACTTTCGCCAGTTGTAGTTCAATTTTAGCCTATAGGTACTAATTAAATTGACGCCTTATATTTTTTTAATGAATGTAAGTCATCAAATAACACCGAGCAGCAAACGCCTGCTGAAGCGTCAGCGTCGCCCATTGTCTCGTGGATCGCTCTAAGAATATGCCCGGCACAAATTAGGATAGGCATTACCTATGTCATGCACATCATAAACACAGATTATGTAGATCGCCAGGTGTATAGCGCTTTCCTTTCGACGCGGCCTACAGCAGAGTCCAACATCAGCGTTTATTCTAAATCCACAGTCGCTGGGTGGTGTAATAATTCACGTACCTGGTGGAAATCGGTCGGGTCGGTACGGCCTCCTGATCCACACCAGGAGCAGCAGGAGCAGGAACAGGAGCGCGACGAGCGGGAGCCACATGACTGGCGCCCGTGACCTACACCACAGCCGTACTGGTTCGGCGCCCCTCGGTGACGGAAGTGCCCGAACCTGTTCGGGGATCCGTCGAACCCGGGGCACCCAGCACCTCTGACAAAAGAGCTGCAGGTTCTCGGGAAATTAGGCGCGCTGCTCGGTGCTCATGACGATGAGAGGAAGGCGTATTTACGTACATTTGGGGAGTGTTTTTTTTTTTGTAAAATGAATTTAAATAAGCCTAAAAAAACTCCAACCGTGATCATGTGTGCCGAACGCTACCGTGGCTGCCATTTGTGAACGATATTCGCTGGAATGTCGGCATCTCGAATACCCAACTGTGGGTTCAAGGACGTGCGCTGTTTCTAAAACGGGAACTCGGTACCGGCCCCTCTGACAGTACAGGCTGCGCCGACGCATAATAGTCAAGCCTGACAAGAATAAAAAACGGCAGGCCGCTGCTTCTCGCTGCTCTGCGCAGTGTGCACTGTGCAGGGACCGGTTCGTGCAGCGAGGTCAGGCCTAGTGACGTCGTCATGACAGCCGAGGATCTCGGGACCGTGAACTGTTAAACACTCAGTTCTAATATTGGGGATTTGATGGTGTATAAAATCGACTTCAATTGGCCTCTTCTCCAAATCGGTCCTCGAACTCCCGAGACTGGATCTAAATTGATGACTCAAACCAAACATGGCGGGGACGCCAATCGACAATTCATTCAGCCGGGAATAATATTGCGTTTGATGCATGAGAGTAACAAAAATTGTACGCTAGTGTACGGTGGGAGACCAACACCACGCTGTTGTCTGACAAGTTGTTGACATGCTCTGAAAAGTTCAGCTGCGCCTGGGTGCGCCGGTGTTGGGGGTGAGCACTTTTGTGTGACAGGTGGTGACCAGACGGGCCGGGCCGGCGAGGCGGACGGGAGGCAACTTATCGCTGTTAAGTTATGTACGCATGAGCAGGTGTGTACCGTCTATATGCATGCAGACTGGTGCAAAATGAAAAAGGCATTTATTTTAACCCTGCAGTTAGACAATTTCGTCTCCTGCAACTTGCACTGGAGGGGGGAAAGCGTCAATGGTCCCAGTCAAAAACCCTGTAACAAAATTTCGCAGAAAAGCGTACGAAGCGCTAACAAAAGTTTATAGTAAGGGTGTAGGGACCAATCTGATTAGCCATATATCAATGAAATCCCTAAATTTATGTTCCCCATTTTCTACTTAAGCACTAGCCAAGGGGGGTTGGGGTATTACAAGTCAGGAAGGGGGAGATCATCCCTCACCGTTTTGCTCCTAATGGCATTAAAGCATAGCCATAAAAATGAACGTGTTGGAAGTTACTAAAGGCAGCGAATGGTGGCTCATTTTAAGGTCTCAAGTCAACTGACGACCTGTAAACTTAGGTCAAAGATCCAAATAAATATTTTGATTTCGATCAATAACTTTGACAAAAACGGTCACATAGCACCGAATATGGTGTAATTGTGTTTGTCACTCGATGCGCTGAATGACATACTTTTTGGTGAACGGCGTAAAGTTAGGTGCTGACCTCAGGCCAAGGTCAGGTCAAATTGGGTCCAAGTCATGCAATGATGCTAAGAAGATCGAGTAACATATCATTCGATTCGGCATATCATTCCGAGTTCATTGGTGTCTTTCTCAACTCTCTACCGCAATTTGTACGCGAGTTATAGGTCAAAAACCCAAATGACTTATATGATATCATTGGCATCGTAGGTATATGACGTCACTCAAGGCTGAGATCAGACATGTGCTTGGATCCGGAAAAATGGATCTGAGATCCGATCCCATGGATCCCGATCCGAGATCCATTCAGATCATAGATCCAACCCCTCAATTTTGTCGAGAGATCTACTGGGATCATAGATCTGACCCTTCAATTTTGTCGCTAGATCCACTCGGATCATAGATCTGGCTCCCCAATTTTGTCGTGAGATCCATTGGGATCATAGCTCATACATAGGTGCTCAAAATGTTAACAACTTTCTTTCATAAGAAGTTATGAATACCAAAGTATGGTTAAAAACAAACAATCTTATACAAAGACCATATTAGTAAAGGCATCCAGTTACATTATACAGAATACAAAATAAAGGAGGCTCATGACGGTCACAACTTGAGAGAATTGAGTGACATGAAGATTGTTCACAGTTCACATACCAACAGAAAAGTTTGCATTAACAATTAACATAGAGGTAAGTCAAAGTAATGACTAATGAACAATACATAACTAGGTACCTACCACATCACAATTCATGCTAGAATCTACATAATGATATTGATAAGACAATCTCATTGATCTTGCATTAGACAACCATGAGGCTTTCCAGTTTCCAGCTACCACAATTGATTGATAAGCAATAAAAGATGATACTGACACATGTGGCTTGGTTAGGTAAAGGTATTTCAATCTATTGAAAGAAATATTTGATAAAATAAACTGAGATATAAACAAAAGTATAAAAAAATTCAACAGCCTGCGGAAGCGATGGGAAGCGAAATATCAATTGTAATGGGCTTGGATATTTACCGTAAAATGATTATTCAGTATCTAAATTGAACTCGTGACGTCATTTCAAATAACAAATGAGCTAGGCGTTCTACCTTCGAGTATAATGAAAATAAATAAAAAATCAAACTGGAAAATCAAAATTCTGGAGTTTTTTTTAAAGAATGTTCATTTTTTCTGCCTCACATGATTTTACGATACGATTGTTTGTGAATATCATCTTTGTAGCGTTGAATTTAATGACGTAAACGTAAGCTGAAACGATATATGGCCCTGAGCGGTGTGCGCCTTGCATCTTAATTTTATTCACTTTTCAAAAGAATAACAATATCTTACGTCATTAGTTTAGAGGGCCTATTACGGGGAATCTTTTGGAATTGTAAGACACCTCAGTCTTCAGATACAGCCTCCGGTCTTACTGCATGTCTCTGTATTCCTGTGTTCTCAGCTTGACCGAACACACAACACACAACCAGCCGCGCCTCCGGGACGACGGTGAAAACAGGGCGCCTGGGGCGATTTGATCAAGGTTCGTGAAATTTACACGTGACGTTTGGCACTTAGAAGGCCCACGAAGGGGAGAAGCTCTAAATGTCACGTGACTAATATGCCCTCCGGCGCCCTGTTTTCACCGGCGTCCCGCCTCCGGCCGCGCTCCACACACACACCCTCTGCCCAGCGCTCTGCTCTGCTCTGCTCGCGCGCCGACGCGCGCGCTTCCCGCCACAGCCGGGAACACGATTTAGCCGTGCATCCTTCACGGCTCTCGGCTACTAAATAATATTATACCTACTTACACTCCTCCCCTCCTATTGAACAATATGCCAACGACAGTCACAACAAACGCTTAATCAAAAGACCAGTGAGCAGGGTCGAACCTTTTCGGGGGGCGTACCTCACGCCCGAAACGGGTGACAGTTCGCGGCCGCTGATCCACATCCCGCGGCGGCTCGGCATCGAACGGCGGCGGCGGGGACGGCGGCGGAACATGTGGTACCTCCGGCCGGTGCGGCACAGCGTCATGGAGCGGTACAGGGTCAGGTGGCGGCACACAGTCAGGTCGTATCTCGGGCAGACGCGGCATCGGCACGTGCGGCAAAACAACAGGTTGCGGTACATAGCGGCCAGCTGTGACACCTTGGGGCGGAAATACAATTGGCGCCCCACCCATACCAGGCACACTATGGGGCCGGGCAATGGGCGTTCCCGGCACATCTCGCCAGAGAGACAACCCATGCGCTCTTGTCGCGGTCCTGTGCCCCTCACTCACAGCCGGCGGGCGCTCCACTGTGTTGTCCGGCTTCAAGCGGTTGTGGTGCACCACCAGACTGCGCCGCTTTCCCTCCTCGCGCACTCGATAGTTCACTGGTCCACATTGTTCTATGATCTCAGCCGCACGCCAAGGCCTCACAAACTTATGATATTCACCGCGCTTCGGTACATTGCGAAACAAGAACACTTTGTCACCCGGGCGATACGACCACTCGTTCATTCTGCGCTCATACAAAGCTTTGTTGCGGTCATGGGACAGCTGATCGCGCTTAACCACATCCTTAAAAGTAAGTCGGAGTGTCTCTCTCAAATCGTCTATGTACTGGGGGAAGGTTGGGGCCCGATCCACAACCGGCCGATCACCCAGCGAGGCTTCCGCCGGCAGGCGGGGCTCTCGCCCAAACATCAAGGCGAACGGAGAGTATCCCGTGCTGTCGTGCACCTGACTCCGGTAGGCGAGCATGAGCATCGGAAGATGCTTATCCCACTCCGTGTGCTGCTCAACAAACTTAGCCAGCATGTTCAAAATGGTGCGATTGGCTCGCTCAGTCATCCCGTTGCCCATAGGGTGATAACTGGATGTCTGAGACTGCTGAATGCCGAGCAGTTCGCTCACAGCTTTCATCACCGCACCGACAAAGTTCCGACCTTGGTCCGAGTGCACACGTTTCATGACGCCAAAACGAGAAATAAACTCATTTACAAGAACATTCGCAATCGTAGTAGCCTTTTCATCCGCGAGGGGATACGCTTCAACCCAGCGTGTGAAGTGATCAGTGATCACTAGCAGGTGATTGTAGCCTCGAGCGGTTTTCGGCAGGTTGGTCACAAGGTCCATGGACACCAGCTCCATCGGCTCGGACGCAGACAACTGCCCCATACTCGCACATGGGCGGGGAGTCGGAGAGTTTCGCGAGGCACAGCGGCGGCACTGTTCGCAAAACTCAGTCACCGTACGCTCCAGGAGCGGCCACCAAAACCTGAGTCGCGCGACTTTCGCCAGCTTTGAAGCGTTGAAGTGCCCACCCGACGGACCATCATGAAGCGACCCCAGCACCACAGGCACGAGCTGGGGTGGGACTACCAGCTGCAGCTGGTCGTGCCCCCTCGGCCCAGCCCGGAACACTCTGTACAGAACATTATCAATCAAACGCAGACGTGACCACTGCCTCCAGTACGGCAGAGCGCCCTTTGACACGGAGGACTGGGAGGGCCGCTGTGTGCTCCCAGTAAGCTGCCTCTTCACCTCCGCCATGGCGGGGTCTGAGTTCTGCGCCGAACACATGAAATCAGAAGGCCACATGGACTGAACGTGGCGAGCTGCGACGGGAGGCGACTGAAAATCCATTGTGTCTGTCTGTGTAGACACCTCCTGCGTGGGGTCCGGCCTCCGACTGAGCGCATCCGGAGCCTCATGTAGCCTACCTGGCCGATGAACAATCTCAAACTGAAACTCGCCCAAAATCTCCAGCCACCGCGCCAGAAGCCCGTCAGGGTTTCTGAAATTCACAAGCCACTGCAGAGCGGCATGGTCTGTGCGGAGCGTGAACTTACGACCCAAAAGGTAATGTCGGAACTGCTGCACAAACGTCACAGCTGCGAGTAGCTCCTTTTTAGTGACTGAATATTGCCGCTGGGATTTAGACAGGCTTTTACTGTCAAATGCCACTGCCCGCTCACCCTGTCCATCCCTCTGCAGCAGAACCGCGCCCATCTTTGACCCTGAACAATCCACGTCTAGTACGAATTCGCTCGCTCCCGGGGAAAAGTCAGGGTATTTCAGAACCGGAGCCGTGCACAGCGCCGCCTTTAGCGAGTCAAAAGCCATCTGAGCCTCCGCATCCCAATGGAAGTCTACGTCTTTCCTGGTGAGGTGATGCAGCGGAGCCGCGATAGCAGCAAAATCTTTGATGTACCGTTTAAAGTACGTTGCCAATCCCAAGAACTGTGACAACGCCTTCTCATTCATAGGCACCGGCCAATCCTTTACTTTGTCTACCTTTTCTGGATCGGGACTGACCCCATCAGACGACACCACGTGACCCAGGTAAGTGATCTCTGATTGAAAGAATTTGCACTTTGAGAGGTTGAGAGTCAAATTCGCAGCCGACAGACGACGGAACACCTTCTCAAGACGTGAAAGATGCGTGTCAAAATCGCCAGAGAAAACCAAAATGTCATCAAAGTAGCTCACTGCATCAGTGGGAGCCAAATCACCCAATACAAGACTCAACAGTCTGGCGAACGAACTCGGGGCACCACTGAGGCCATATGGGCACGTTGTGTATTGCCAAAGCCCAAACGGCAACGTGATGGACGTTTTGGATCGATCCTCCTTTCGGATGCTCATCTGGTTGTACCCGCTTTTTAGATCGAGCACCGAAAACAAAGAGTTACCTCCCAGGCTGTCAAGTAGGACATCAACCCTTGGGATTGGAAAGGCTGGCACCTGGCACACGCGGTTAAGTTTTCGAAAATCCCCACAAATTCGCACAGAACCGTCTCTTTTCTTCACCAGGACTACCGGTGATGACCAAGTGCCATCAGACGGCTCCAGCACCCCCTGATCTACCATATCCTGCACGCGCTGCTTTACTTCTGTCTCCAGGTGTGGGGGAATTCGTCTGGGAGCTGATCGCACCGGCTTGGCAGCGCCCGTGTCGATTACGTGCTCAACTAGTGAGCAGTGACCAAGCTGGTCTGAGAACAACGAGGGGTACCGGCGCAACAGAGCAAAGAACTTTTCCCGCTGCTGACTCGTTAGCGACACATCAGACAGATCGACCAAATCCTCCAAGGAACCCGCGCCAGAGCTGGGACCATTTGACACCCCATTGTCTGCATCATTCCCCTCCCCTTCAATGGAGAAGTCGGCTTCCATTGATCCTAGGCCCTTGCCCTTAGACACCGAGACCGAGGATGACGTCACGTTACGCACCACGACCGGAACACTGCCGCCCGGCTTCACATCAACCAGTCCGTCCAGGAACGTCAACCCACTGACTGCGACGTCGGCAATGAACACAGCCTCTCCCTCAAAATCAGCATCATCGACATGGCCGGGGATCACAACCTCACAGTTTGGGGGTATAGCGTACGTTTCCTGTACAGACACCCTGCACACACGAGTCGTCGGTCGCTCAGGCAACACCGTGGCGACCGGCTGACGGTTCACCTGGTTTGCAGGTGTGAGCTGCTTCGTCGATAGGTCAAGAACAAACGGATACTGCGCGAAAAAATCCATGCCCAGGAGGCAGTCGATGGGACCGATTTCGTCGGATACAAACACAGAGAGCGGGTATGACACATTATCGATAACAAAATGCACTGCACACCGACCGAGCAGACGCAACGGCTGTTGAGTTGCAGTTTTAGCGGTGACGTCACAACGTTGTAGCTGGGGACGCGCTGAAATCTGATCATAAATCCGCCTGTGAACTATCGTTATAGCACTTCCTGTATCCACAACAAGCTGCGCTGGCACCTTACTAACCTTTGCCTTGACCGTAATGTCCGACGCCGATGCAGCGCAGTTATTCAAAACTCTCGGTCCCGGCGGCCGAGTGACCGGGGAGCGCGCGCGCCGCCCTGAGCGCCCTCCCCTCCGGCGTTTCCCGAGAGGCGGCACGTGCGCTGAACATGGCCCACCTTCCCACAGGCAAAGCACCTGGCTAGACGGAAACGACAATCTGGTTTCCCGTGACCCGTCTCCCCACAACACAGA